TTTCCATTTAAACTATTAACATTTAGTTTCCATTTTAAAAGGGTTTTTCTTGGCAGAGTCATGATGGCTTTTTTTTTTTTTTTACATGTTTATGCTCTTCTCTTGACATCATTCAGGGAAAGAAAAAGTCTGATACAAGTAACACTTTGTTAAATGACATGTAAAAATTAAAATTGTAAATTCTAACCTGGCTTGTTTGTCAATGCTCAAAAATGTCAATTTACTTCAAAAGAGCAACTGGCATAATTTCACAAAGTGGACATTCTCAATATCCTTCACTGGACACCAAGGTTGCTTAAGTTCCAAACTGAGCCTTCCCCACAGGACCACAATTGATGCTACAGAAGTAGAAACCATAGTTCATAATAAACAGTTCTTATCTGAAGTGCAGGGCACCTTCAGGTGGTTGCAACAGGAAGACATAGGAGGACTTAACTTAGTAACATATTGATGTTTATGTAAGCACAAGGCTTATTTTGATAAACAGCACACTTATGCCTTTAGGAATACATAAACTTAGCATAAGGAAATGGATCCATTACATAAGTACTACATCTGTGCTACTGTTTATTTATGAGCAAATAATACTTAATAAAACAATGCTCTACAATGTGGTCTTCTGGCAGAGCTCTACATTGACAGACAAGATTCTTAAATCCAGTTCCAAGCTTTCAGCCTGTAGATTTTGAAGTGTTTCTGTGAAGAGTTCAATCACTTCAAGAAGAAGGTACTGAATTACAGTGGGAAAAATTGAGTCAATTCTTAAGATTTCAGTAAGAACCACAGAGAACACCACTACCATACCACATACTTCATGGTTTTGGGATAGGCTTTTTCTTCCTTTGGGGAGGTTTATTTTTTTTTTGTTTTGCGTATGTTGGGTTTTGGTGGTTTTGTTTTGGTTGTTTGGCTGGTTTGTGGGTTTTCTTTCTATAAATACCAAGAGATGCCCTCTTATCAGTTTATGAGGTTGCAAAAAATGCATTTGCCAATTATTTTACAATTTTCTAGGCATTGCACTAAAGCGCATCATTTCAGCCTTCTGAAGTTCTATGCATCACTCTCTTTTGAGTGTAAGAGCATCAAAACTGGTTTTAATGATGCCTTTTAAGCATCTCCTCTACAGTTTTGTAAGACAGCTGATGATTCAGATGCTCAAGGAAGCACCAGCTTTAATGCTGTGACAGACTTTTTCCAACTTCTCTGTTACAAACACTGAAAAAGCACATTATTTGATAATATCGTGGTGAGTATCCACATACCACTTGTAGTAAAATGCCCATATCCCACATCCACGTGACAGGTGACAAAAATGCCAATTAATGTTTGTTACTTTTGCTACGTTTGCATCTGAATGCCAGCCTAAAAATATTATAGCAAGTGGAGGTTATTTAAGCAGAAATCAAAGACAAAACTAACATTTTTTGCTATCAGAGTCAAAGAGGGACTTTTATTCAAAAGATTTGCTTTTAGCAGTTTCATCCCCCCATCCTTAGCTAGGCAAAGCAAGACAATAAATGTTAAAGACCTACTGTCTTGAGATGGCAATGAAGAACCACTCATTAAACAGATCGTTTTACACTTCTTAATAATTTATTAGCACATTTATTTAAAACTGCTTATGGTCACATATCCCACAGGATAGCTGGGAGGTACCCTATTTTGTTAGGCAAACATAATTTACTCTTCCATCACTCCCACACCTACATATTTACAATGACTTCCACATATATATTACATGTATCTTATGATGATCCCAGTATTGGAGCATTGCAGCCTCAAAATGAGAAAACCTATCAAAATAACCCTGTCATCCCATATAAACACACCCCAATCCAATAAGTCAGCACATCACCACACATTACTGCATTGTTAGTTAAGCAGCAAAACACAAACACGCCCTTCCTTGCCAAAGGTTCACCATTCCACTGCTGATATAACAACTACTAAAAGATCCCAAACCAATTCATCTTTGGGCTCAATTCTGTTCTAAAATCCATAAATTAACAATAAACAATCTGCTACAGGATGCAGTTCTGAAGTAATGTTTTATCCATATAATTTTCAATCAACAACATGATTTATCATTGCAATCAACAGGCCAAGAGCCACCATCCAAAAGGTTAGCTTATATAAGGTGATCAAAAAGTACAAAAGAAGTGTTAACACATCTGATCTATCAATCTAATGCTTTGTACTGTAAAGGCTTTTGAAGAAATTAGTGTTCATTTTCAACAGTTTTTATTAACTTAAAAGATGTAGGACTTTGCCATGATTACAAAAATGTAGTACTCCCATGCATCTGCCCTTCAATATTTTTAGCCTCAGTTGATACCAACCTTGTATTCATAATTAATGTACCATGATTTCACAATGCAGAAAATGAGAATGCTTTCTTCTGAATTGTTTAGTGTTCAAAAACCAAAATTTGCAATGATTTTGTAATAGCACAACAGCAGAGTTTACCTTACAGGAGGCTTTCCAACTGACAATTAAAGCAATCTAGAGTCCTTGTATCTCAGAGATCAAGAACCATAAAACCCAAAACACCACCCCAAAACGTTCTTTGGCATAACTTTAGCAAACTAATGAGAGATATGAGTGCTAGTTTAAAAGAAAACCCCAAAAACACAAACCCTGAGCCTTGATTCTTGTTAACATCATTACAGTAATATTCTATAACAGTAGCAAGAAGAAGAAAATTACTATGAATTAACAACAACAATTCCTATATTTAATGTTATTTAAAAATCAAAGTGTTACCTAAGGCAATTACCTTGCAGCCTTTTAATATCTACAGGGAAAAGCCTAAGGGAAAATAATTGACTTTGCTAATTTTACCCTTGGCAATTATAAAATAGCTCTGCATTTCATTACGACTACAGAATTTCACGTCTAATTGTCAGCCCCGAGAGAAGCAGAGAGATAAATGCATCATACACAAGCTCAGACATGAATTTAACAGACAATAAAATTATCCTGGTAGCAAGGAGTTCAGTTATGTTAAAACCCCCTTTAATTTAAATTCTGGTCTACACAATAGCTATGCATGTCTACGGAGGTTATGGCTACCATGGTCAGTACCATGCATGATAAAATGCTGCTCATTTCATTAGCCAATTTGCTAAATGCCAGCAAAAAAAGCAGTACTGTGATTTTTTACTTTTTACATCAAAGAACACAAAACATTATGAAGGAAAAAAGTCACAGTTATTTCACACTGCTAAAAAACAGATGCCAGATTTGAAAATTCATCATTTACAAAAGAATAAATACAGTATGTTTAAATCATTGCACCTGTCAAGAGATTTCTATAGCTTGTATTTCAATTTTTCTAACTTTGCTAGTAGGGTTAGACGTATGAAAAAGAATAATTTACTAAGTCAATCAGTTTCCATAATGGCATCCCACTTATCGTATGTAGAAGCTATGAAAGTATTTAGATGTCAGAAAAATGAAAAAAAGTGCTAAAATGTTTTGGCAGAATTTTCCAACATGCAGTATAATGATTGCTTTAAAAAAAAAAGTATTTCTTTGCACTTGTGCTTCATTTCACTGTAGGCTTGTTTCCTGGCAAGTCTTCAGGGACTATACATTCCTGCTGCAATACTTAATGATGTACTAAACACAAAGTAATAGTTGCTACATTTTGTAAAAGTTTCCTCTTATGTTGAAACTGAAAATTGATGTAGGGTTAAATCCTTTGGTCTGTCTTGAGAAACTTACAGGGTACTAAAAAAAAATAACTGATACAAATTAATAATAATTACTAAAATCAATTACATCCCATTTTGGTTATGGTGTGCACTATTTATTTCTTTTCCTAATACTTACTACAAGTTAGCACCATAATGGCTTAACCCACTATTCCAGTAGATTGACATCTAATTTTCTGTCTCTTCTCTTGAATCTCAGCTCTGTGTTAGAAAATGACACCACTTCTGAGAGAAACTGTCATACTTATGATCAAAGGAGCACAGAAATACTCTACTACCACAAGGAGATTTAAGCATGAGAATCTAAAAAAAATAGACTACTAAGGCTGACAATTACAACAATGCTGATTATTGACAATTGCACATGACAAACATTTATTTTACATTACAACATGGCAGCAGTCTTCAAATGTATGAAAAGCACCTCTGCAAAATGTGCTGTCTCCTGTTTCCATTGGAATGGCACACTTAGCTCTTCAGCCATTCATGCAGGTGCTACTAGGCTGGCACAGGGATGCCCAGGAATCCCTCTCCGCCACTGGAGGCTTTAAGAACAAGCTAGATAAATGTGGATCAAGAATGATTTTGTGTAGCTGATTCTATCTGGCAAAAAGAAGAACTGACTAGAGAGAGGATCTCTTTATGTCCCTATCAGTCTCATTTTCTAAGATAATACATATACTCAATTTGTTTCTCATCAAAAACATCTCCCTGTAAAGTTTCAAACAGCTTGGCTAAGCTGTTGGATTGCAGTTGTCCTTCAGAAGCCAGTACATACGCATTAGTAGAGCAATCCAATATTCAGGCATATCCAAATCCCTAACAATATCAAAAGCAAAAAGTCATCTGAGACAAAACAGTAAAGCCTTTTGCTCCCCAAATCGTCTAAGACAGAAAACCTCTCACAAAGCACAAAGTAAAAAGAAAAACCCAAAAAAAACCAGACCAAAGATGTCTTCAGCTGGGAGTTGTACAACACCAGAGGTGCTGTAGCCTGACATGTCATGAATATGCCTTAAACTCACCAAACTGACCACCCATCCATTACTTCAGTGCTTCAGAATGTATACTAAAGATATCATCACAGTAATTCCATAGGAGACTGTTAAACACATTCACAGCAACAGCAGACTGCCAAATTGACAGCTATAATGGTAAGGCTGCTGATTTTTAAATGATGCTCCATATATACATACATAACGGCTGATTTTTTAGGGGGTCTCTCTTTCAAAATACTTGCTAATATTTACTTGCTTTGGCAGTAGGGGAATTTTTCTTTTTTACCTTGGTATTCTGCAACTGTGCCAGGCTGGTGCAAGCATTTGCTAGGAGAAAATCTCCACTCAAAACAGCCATTTTATTCCCAAACTGCATATCCTTCAGAGGACCATCGCAGGACTTGAGCTCACCAATGTTTACTATGCCACGATGCACCAGAAAGGCAGTATGGATCAGCTCCGTGATCTCAGCCAGACTTCTTTGACTGAAAGAAAGAAAGAAAAAGCACAATTACGTTTGATGCTATGAATAGAACAGAGATTCTTAGTGAAAATAAACAAACAACCATATGTGCTAAACAGGTATTTTATTAATTATCATGTGAGCTCTTCTATGTACTTCTAGAAGCCACAACCAGGAGGTGTCAAACACAGAGAACTGTCATTAAGTATTTCCAGGCAAACCACAGGTACCACAGGCTCCACTTGGGAGAATGCTGCCCTTTGTTTGAATTCTTTCACAAAATAAAGCAAAATAATCAATGTAGTCCTCACAGGTGCTTTCTTTTTTCTGTTTTGTCTACCAGAAGCTTGAGGGACACTGACATGAAGAAAATGCCAAGCAGAAAGTAATGATGGAAAGAAACAAAGGACGTATCAGCAGGGGAGTCCTGAGCAAGCCAATCCAAACAATGTAAGAATGCTGCAGTCAATGACTGCTCAAATTAGAGTTAAATTAATAACAGAATACCTTGCAGCTCAATACTACCAAAGGGGATGGGTTCAGGCAGGAGAGGAAAAACAGCTGAATGTTTTAGAACTGTGTACTAAGGGTATTTCACTGGTGGTTTTAGTCAGAAGCAAAGGCGACTATCTAGCAAAGGGGCCAATTTTATTGGATAGGTTTACAAATCACTTCTAACTCCAACATATAGCATATACATCCTCGGTTTAGGGGTTACAAATCCCTGTGAGAGGCTTATCACAGAGGTTATTCCATAGAGGCTTGCTCTCTATTTAAATTTTTTGGAAAAGGCAAGAAAAGAGTCATTAGCACAGCCCTCTCCTCCCCCTTCTCCCACAATTCAATCCTGTAGCCCTCAGCAGTGACTGTCACTCTAAGAAGCCCAGAGATGTCACCTTAGCTCAGAATGACAATGGGGTGCTGAACAGACAAAATAACTGAGCAGGGCCAAAGGGAGGAAACAGCAATGCTCTGGAGCATCCTTTTAATGCTAGATACACACAGGACTCATTCTTACAAAATCTTCAGCACATTCACATCTTCTCTGACTCAAGCAGTTCCCTTTCTGCCATGGAGGTTCCACATATGAGCAAAATGAAATCCATGCCCTCAATTAAACAGATGACTAAAGGCCTTAAAGTTCTAATTAATTACAACATAGTACAAAGGCGTGTTATGTTCTCTGTGCTCACTCAGAAGTGGCCAAGCACTGATTCATTGAGTAACCAAACTGATCCATACCTTCATGTACAAAGATACCAGCTGGTACACGCTCAGGTTAGATTCTGCCTCAGTAATAGCACAGCACTGAGCAAATTAATTCTGCTTGCTCTGGACGGTGCGCATGTGTCCCAACCACCCCAAACCATATTAATCAAAGAAACCTTCTGCCCCAAATATATGTGACCTGTGAACAGTCCCAGCAGCAACTGTTTCAGGGCAGTGGTTGGTGCCAATTAGCAAGAGAGAAGAGATGGGATGGTCATAGGGCCTGGGCAGCAAACAAAAGGCAGAGGGAGAGGATAAATAGAGGTTCCCAATGTATTTTGCCAAGCACAAAAAAACCCTTGAGCTGTTTTAAAAACTGCCTTTATAATTCACAAATTGTTGTCTCCATGCAGACAACAACAATTCAAAAACCAAACAGTCATTCTCCATGTAGACAATAAATCTGAAGGTTGAGGCTGCTTTTCAAAGACGTGAGGTAGAAACTCACATAACCCAGTCGCAGTATTGTAATCACGCTTGGCTCGGCTCTAACAAAGGGTTAATAAATTTTCAAGCTCGGAGAAAAAGACTAACAAGACATCCCGATGCTCCTGCTGTCATTGTCAGGGCAGCCCTTGGAGGAAATGTCCGTATCAATTCGGTTTATCAGATGGACAGCTGATCAACATTAAACAGACTTGCTCTGGGCAGATTGAGCCGAGCTACCTGTTATGAATAGCAATGAGAGCCCTCTGCTCCCGCTGCCGAGCTCTGCCATTTCCGCCTGCCGCAGATCCCAGGACATATGGGGATCCCTAGTGACGAGCACATAAAGCTGCAGCTAACTCAGGCGACGGCTCATTTCCCCCAGCTGAAAGCAGGCATTAATATCCTGAGGAGAGCAGGCCCGCCTCTGTGACCCCCAACTATTGAAGCAAAACAACGACTGTCCTATTTCTTCATTTAATAAGCCCTTAATGAAGGAAATCAAAATCCCCTCTTTGACTTCAGCATCGCTCTTCATGAAAAGGTTACACAAATACATCAGTGTCATGCTTTCCACATGCTCAGGATCTGGATGTTTTCATTTCTTTTCCTATAATCTGTTTGTTCTTCAAATAGTATTCACATTATTTGTGCTAACAAGAATCATATTAGGCAGATAATCTATGCCTAATTCTGATCATACATACTGCTTTTCCACTCTCTCTCTAGCAGACTGAAAATATAAGAATCAATGCTATTGCAGAAATCCCAGGCAATGCATTTTTTAATGCTTTTTGTGATAATCCCTAGAATACCCAGGCACAATAACAAGTGCACAATGCTGCAGATACAGGAGGATCCTTGACATGACTTTGTAAAGGCCAGTATCCAACAAATAAACACTGCTGTTATGAAGTTGCTGCTAAATGGCTGAAGAAATACTATACACAGTTTTCTCCATCTGAATACAATTCAGTGATTAAATAATTTCATATTTGAAAGCAGCCAATCCCAACAGACAAAAGAAAAATGTTTTAGCAATACTGGACTTAGAAAGAGGGCAATGGGATGACAAAATCTGACTGCCTCCGTCCTGTGTTCACTCCAGAGCCCACAGTCACAAAAAAATAAGTGGCTGCCGCAAGAATTACCTGTTCTTACCTTGGTACAAGGTTGTACTGAGAAAACAGTCAACGTTTCTAAACACACAAAGTTCCTAAATGGAAGCGTGCTAAGAATCAGGAAAGCTTTATCACCAAATGCTAACACACTTCCACACCTTTCACCTGTGAAGTAAGAATTCCCTGCAAACCACCACCAAAGTTCCTAATTTCAAGTCCTACTCTAAAAAGAAATAATAGGATTCTGTAAAACATATGATAAAAGAGACACATTAAATAGTACAGTTGTATTGAACTTGAGTTAGTATACCTTTCATTATCAGCTAACCATCAGAACTATACCAGGCTTCTCAAGGGATAACAGGCTATGCAAAAAAAAATTTTAATAATTTAAAATGTCTCATTTTTAAGCATAATATTTCACAGAAATGGGCCAAAGACTTAAAATAGCTACTAAAAACCATATTTGAAAATTTTTGAGGCAACTACAATGAACAAAGATAATGAAACTGATAGATCAAAAATTCTTTAAGAACTCTTACCACTGAAGCCTTGAATTAAAATGACTAACAGTACACACCCAAGATTTGAACATTTTCTTTGTGATTGTCAATTCAATAGTTTCCCTTCAATACAAAAAGAATTGATTTGGAGCCTTACATTCAGGACTTTAAAAATTCTTTTAAAAGTATCAGCACACATTTCATTTCAGTGACAACTATAATAATCTTTATATATACACACCTATGAATTTGAAATAAAAAGAAATAGTGTCTTTAATGGAAAATTACATATGAAAAAGCATTAACTAAAGATTTAAAGTAATAATTTTTGATACGGACTATATATTTGGGCAGCACTTAGTATCTGATTTTACCTTTTTTGTGTACCATGAACAGAAAAAAAAAGTTCTGTGAAGACAAGGAGGTGCTTAAACTACATTCATGTTGATCCTGTATGCTCTGGGTACTAGCTGGTGCTGCACCAAGATAGTTCACTTAGTTACACAGTGAGAAAGGGCAGTGGTTTTTACAGTTCTTTTTCCCATTCACCTGTGAAAGTCAATGCCATGGTTAATAAACCATGATTAGAAGAACAATGCATAGTGAGTAACAAATAGCATTATAGTGATGGAAAGTCTCATTCCCATCTTCTGTGAATGGTGTCTTTTACAAGAAATTAAATGGCACGGGGGCAGGTGTTTAGGCCAGTCAATATGTATGGCAGATGCTGTCATTTCACTGACAGGGAAAATTTTCAGGTAAAGCAGCAGATTTCAGCAGAAGACCAAATATTCAGTGCATTCCCATGACTGATGTATCTGTTAACCAGCAGAAAACATCTACCAACTCTATCCTTTAACAAGACTAGAGACCAAGATTTCTGCAGTTCCTTCTGTCTTGGTCTTAAGATGTAGGAGTGTCTTCCACCTGAGGGATAAATCAAGTTGAAAGATATCAAATCTATGAAGTTTGTTGAATATGCTGTTTAATTGCATTCCTAACAATCACTTTATTTTTAAACTGGCTACATATCCTACCTCTTTCATCTCCTTTCCTTCCTAGTATCACAAAGTTTTTTAAGTAAAATTTCTATCAATGCTCCTTCATGTATTTTTCTTTATTTATTTTTGAAAAGATCTTACATTTTCACACTCTGTCACCACCATCACTGATTATTGCTTAGGTTCTTTTCCATAACTTGTCTTAGTAAGATCTTCCCTCAGCCCATTATAGGATTTGAAAATGTTTTCTGATTTTTAGTGGGCAGATATTCACTTGAACTTGGCAAGCCAGTTCCCCTAAGCATTGTAGGTGGCTGGCAGTGGAGAGCAAAAAGCCTGACTGGAAGTCAGGGTCCTGTTCCCTTTCTTAGTGCAGGAATTTTGAAGAAGGGTTTTCACAGGTCTTGGCTTCATTGTTAGGGGTACCACAGAACAACCAATTCCAACTTTGTACTCCAGACAGCAACACTCAAGTGAACCAACTTGTATCAGCTTCTGAGTAGTGCCACTGATGTGCCAACACGGCCACCACTGTGTCAGCACAGCACAGCCAGGAGCCCTCCAGCCTGGGAGCCAGCTACCCGTACCAGCCTGCAAGAATCCACACTTGCACCATCATCCCCAGCAAAACGAAGCCATAACTGCTGAACTTGTGTCTGCCTTACTCCTATAATCAGCATCAGTGGCCAAAGAACAGTGATT